GGCTCCACAATCTGTGACTCCCTGTCTCTTGATACGGAGCTAAACAAACGCATTGGTAAGGCATCAACTACCATGTCCAGACTGACAAAGAGAGTGTGGGCCTACAATAAGCTTACTGAGTGAACAAAGATCCAGGTTTACAGAGCCTGCGTCCTGAGCCCTCTCCTTTATGGCAGTCAGTCTTGGACACTCTGCGCCCGTCAGGAAAGACAGCTGAACGCCTACCACATGCGCTGCCTCCGACACATCTTGGACATCACCTGGCAGGACAAGGTGAGAAACAACAGCGTCCTGGAGAGAGCAAGAATCACCAGCATGTACACAATGCTGAAGCAGAAACGAATGTGCTGGCTCGGGCACATTGTGCAAATGGGCGATGGCAGGATCCCCAAGGATCTCCTGTATGGAGACCTGACGCAGGAAGAGCGTCCAATAGGCAAACCCCAGCTACGGTACAAAGACGTATGCAAGAGGGACCTGAAAGCCATGGACGTCGATCTTGCTACGTGGGAAACACTGGACGCAGATCGTTCAGCCTGGGGGCAGTCTGTTCAAAGAGGTCTCTCCAAGTTCGAGGAGTCACTTGCCAAGAATTCGGAGGCAGAGAGACAGAGGAGGAAAGCCGGTAGCCAGGAAGACAGACCAGAATCGGACTTCGTTTGTGCTCAGTGTGGGATGGACTGCCGTTCTCGGATTGGCCTCATCAGTCACACCAGACGCTGCACCAGAATTGACATTCAGAACGCGACTCCATAGTCTCCCGAGACTGAAGGATGCCTACTACTAGCTATGGAAGTATTACAGGGTCACAGGAAAGTTGCTGTTCCTTATTGTTAGTCTTCACACTACACAGCGTGTTCCTCACTACCATATGTCGTTTCTTTACTAGAAGCAAAACATGTATATGGTGCAAGGATTTCAGGTATTTTATACTTGTTACTAAGATTGTCATTTCATGCAGTGTGAGTTTAGATTTATCTCTAAATGCCTGAATTTTATCAGTCTAAAATGTAATGCTCGAGTGTGTATCCCTGTCTTTGTCCACACACTTTACACTTTAAGTCATCTAGATCCCTATATAAGTCAAACTGTAAGAGATACCTGTTGCCAAGTCTTATTCGAGCTGTTACAACGTTTGTTAGTCTGTTGATTTCGTTACTTGCCCCATACATATGTTTTACTTAACACATTTCATTGTGATGAACAATGGACTTGCTAGTTCCAATTTGCACTGTTCAGCTTTCATCAAGTTTATCTAATGCTTATCGTCAAGTGACATTTTCAATGGACTGTTGCATGAAACGGTACTGCTGTCATACCAAGAAGATGTTATGTTTCACGAGCATTAATAGTATAAACAAAACGCCATAGTCGTCTTTGCAGTGTGAAAAGTGGGCAAGCGTTGCAGGTGGTGAAGGATGGAGGGTTTTGTTGTCTAGACAGGGTGTCAGGCCCTGGCGGGAACTCCAGAACATATGTATTTGTAGCTCTAGTTGGTGTGAAGTATTAGTTGTAAGTAGGCTGTCAACGACGGAGGTGAGAGGGGAAGAAGCAGTTTACCCTCACATGCATCCACAATGTTGGGAATCCACAACATTTTTTATTTACCCCTTTATTAAGAATGCATGTATATTTATTTACATAAAAACAAACCCAAGTATATTGAAGTGTTAAAGTTTCAATGACTTTTGGCTACATAAGGTAAGCAGTGACGGAAATCCGACACACATGTTAACATACTACAGTTACCCTTTAAGAATTTAGAGAATGGATGATTCTGTGACATCATCACAACAGACGTCTTGTCACTACACGTAAATTTAAAACTCTAATTATTCTTTTAAACAAGAGTCTAGTGTTTAAACATAATAAAATAGTATTCACTAGGACTGAATAAATATAATTGGCAGTAAAAATATAGCTTAGCTCCCTTGTTACTGTAAAATAAACACAGAATATTGAGGGAATATTACTGGACCACCACCTGAGAGAGGAGGCGCCAGTCACGTATACACAGAACTTGTACACAAAACAGAGAGGGCGCCTCACTACAAGCACAACTCCTCAAAGGATCCATAACGATGAGACCAACCAAGAAATTGCCATTGTGACCTCAACAACAGGACTGCCGAGTATCCGACTGTCTTATATTCTTTTTATTTGTAGTGATCACTATATAATATTGGATAGGCAGCCGGTTATTAATCTACGAAAAACACAAACACAATAAGTGTTTACTCAGCACTACACACACACAATATGTGTTTACTCAGCACTACACACACACAATATTCATGTCACACCTGTACTTTATTTGTTTATTGAACCATTACTAATGTCCTTCATTTGTCAGGTAACTTGTGATTTGGAGTTACTGCAAGCTGAGCTGGCCCACACAAATAGTGAAGTTTATTGCTACCTTGGCTGTAGAGAGGCCACCGTACTAGGCGCCATCACACACACCCTGAAGCACATGTACCCACACACTAAACACATGTTAGGAGAAACACACAGTATAATCAGGCCATCTTTACCATACAGCTGAGACATTCTAAATTGAATACTAATATAATCATAAGATTGATTAGTACTAACAATACTACTGTAGATTAGGTCACCATATATGGTATAATTTATATTTTGCAAGAGGTAAACTAGTTTAGTTTATCCTATATCCACTCATAGTGGTATAAGCTATAATTGTCCCACCAAACTCATGCACTCATCTACTGACGAACTCACATTCATCTACTTACACATTCACATTCCAATTTAATGGCAAACTTTTCCCACAGTCACATCGTAGAAACCCTCAATCTGAAAGTCAGTCGAGTTAATAAATTCACAGACGGTGTTTAGGAAGGGCTGGAGGCACCTGAGGACCAGACGTGCTCTGTGTGGCCTGATACCATCATCACAGGCGCTCTCCACCCCGGACCACCGTCGTGGAAAACTCCTCAGGTCTGGAGGATGTAGAGCCATGAAGCCTTTCTCTGGGGATGACACGCTTCAGCCAGATTGGAAACTTTTGGGACAAGGTCACGATTCTTCTACGGAGTCTACAAAGGTCACCAAAGCGCTGTAGCGCTGTAGCAGTGAACGAGTCGAGTAGTCTGTACTCCACTTCCTAACACGGTAACTCGATGACATCAATAATCCTCACACACTCGGCATTAAGGTCACATTGCATTATCAATGACTTTCTCAGGTGTGACCTTCAGAGCGTCTTGTTGGATCACTTAACATTTGGTCACCAGTCATTACAAATGTTTGTAATAGATAATTTAGATGAGCTCAGCCACCCCGCTCCCTGTCGCCTCGATACACAATTTTGGCTAGAGTGTACTGTATATGTGAGAGATGGATAGCACTAATATACATGGCACATGTATATTACATGGCACAATGAGTGATACATGGCACTAATGTATTGCTTGCGTAAGTACTTACAAGACACAACTTTGTTATTTGCAACTCATAGTGTGTCAAGATGAGTATCTATGGGTTCCTTTTCACATGTGGAATCCAAAGAGTAGCAATAATTTTTACCTGGGTCGTCAGGATCTGTTGCAATGGTGTAGCAACATCGTCAAGACCAGGCCTGGAGTACCAGCATCCCTGGGGAACCCAGATGGCAACCATTCTGCTACAGTGTGTGGCCGGAGGGGGGGGGGGGGGGGAGTGAAAAAGGCCTCCCCTCAAAATGACGGTTTGTATGGTGACCACAATGGTCCCTCCCCCCCCCCCCCCCCTCTGATATTCGGTGGCCTCCTGGCGACCCTATATCCGAGGGTTAATTTTGTTGTTGTTACAAGAGGGTTGGGTTGGGTTCCGAGGGAGGGTTGTTACAAGAATGTAACAACTCTTGTATATATCTCAAAAAAAAATTATTTTGTTTACGTGAATAAGTTATACATGAGATGAACACTGCTTCTAAAACAAGGCTTTTGCTACATCTGCATGAGATAGGCTTTTATATTATTACTATATTATGGATAGTACACAACTTGCAGGATTTTGTCTTTGTCTTCTTCGAAGGATTTTGTTTATTGATACTTACATTATTAATGGTAGTTGTTGCAATTACAGTTAGTAATTCTCCATAATACCTATCCTTAGCTGCATCCCAAGTCACCTTCACCTGCTCTTATGTGACTGGAACACTCACACTCTCCCTCTCACCATCAGCACGAGAAGGGGACGATGGTGAGCACCTTTGGAGCATTGCCGGAAGGTGGCCATTCTCACTACACTCCGTAGCCCAGACCCCTGCACCACACTTAGGGTGTAGCCTCTTCCAGACCCTTACCCCACACTTAGGGTGTAGCCTCTTCCAGACCCTTACCCCACACTTAGGGTGTAGCCTCTTCCAGACCCTTACCCCACACTTAGGGTGTTGCCTCTTCCAGACCCTTACCCCACACTTAGGGTGTAGCCTCTTCCAGACTCCTGCCCCACACTTAGGGTGTAGCCTCTTCCAGACCCTTACCCCACACTTAGGGTGTAGCCTCTTCCAGACCCTTACCCCACACTTAGGGTGTTGCCTCTTCCAGACCCTTACCCCACACTTAGGGTGTAGCCTCTTCCAGACCCCTGCCCCACACTTAGGGTGTAGCCTCTTCCAGACCCCTGCCCCACACTTAGGGTGTAGCCTCTTCCAGACCCTTGCCCCACACTTAGGGAGTAGCCTCTTCCAGACCCCTGCCCCACACTTAGGGTGTAGCCTCTTCCAGACCCCTGCCCCACACTTAGGGTGTAGCCTCTTCCAGACCCCTGCCCCACACTTAGGGTGTAGCCTCTTCCAGACCCCTGCCCCACACTTAGGGTGTAGCCTCTTCCAGACACCTGCCCCACACTTAGGGTGTAGCCTCTTCCAGACCCCTGCCCCACACTTAGGGTGTAGCCTCTTCCAGACCCCTGCCCCACACTTAGGGTGTAGCCTCTTCCAGACCCGTGCCCCACACTTAGGGTGTAGCCTCTTCCAGACCCCTGCCCCACACTTAGGAGTAGCCTCTTCCAGACACCTGCCCCACACTTAGGGTGTAGCCTCTTCCAGACACCTGCCCCACACTTAGGGTGTAGCCTCTTCCAGACCCCTGCCCCACACTTAGGGTGTAGCCTCTTCCAGACCCCTGCCCCACACTTAGGGAGTAGCCTCTTCCAGACACCTGCCCCACACTTAGGGTGTAGCCTCTTCCAGACACCTGCCCCACACTTAGGGTGTAGCCTCTTCCAGACCCCTGCCCCACACTTAGGGTGTAGCCTCTTCCAGACCCCTGCCCCACACTTAGGGAGTAGCCTCTTCCAGACACCTGCACCACACTTAGGGTGTAGCCTCTTCCAGACCCCTGCCCCACACTTAGGGAGTAGCCTCTTCCAGACACCTGCACCACACTTAGGGTGTAGCCTCTTTTAGACACCTGCACCACACTTAGGGTGTAGCCTCTTCCAGACACCTGCACCACACTTAGGGTGTAGCCTCTTCCAGACACCTGCACCACACTTAGGGTGTAGCCTCTTCCAGACCCCTGCCCCACACTTAGGGTGTAGCCTCTTCCAGACACCTGCACCACACTTAGGGTGTAGCCTCTTCCAGACACCTGCACCACACTTAGGGTGTAGCCACTTCCAGACCCTTGCCCCACACTTAGGGTGTAGCCTCTTCCAGACACCTGCACCACACTTAGGGTGTAGCCTCTTCCAGACCCCTGCCCCACACTTAGGGAGTAGCCTCTTCCAGACACCTGCACCACACTTAGGGTGTAGCCTCTTCCAGACACCTGCACCACACTTAGGGTGTAGCCTCTTCTAGACACCTGCACCACACTTAGGGTGTAGCCTCTTCCAGACACCTGCACCACACTTAGGGTGTAGCCTCTTCTAGACACCTGCACCACACTTAGGGTGTAGCCTCTTCTAGACACCTGCACCACACTTAGGGTGTAGCCACTTCCAGACCCTTGCCCCACACTTAGGGTGTAGCCTCTTCCAGACACCTGCACCACACTTAGGGTGTAGCCTCTTCCAGACCCCTGCACCACACTTAGGGTGTAGCCTCTTCCAGATACCTGCCCCACACCCTGGGATGTACCGTCACCAATCACCTGCCACACCCAATATATGTGAAACAAATATTTTGACATTCTAGATTAACAGACAAGTGTGGACAGCCTAATATTAATTATAAATAAAAAGTGTATTAAATAATACAATTAGAACGCACGAATCTAGCGGAGGAATTGTATATATTTATATGATAATATTTGTAAAATCTAATTACAAGTAACAAAATTATTAAAATAACCCACCCAACCTCTAACTGGGATTCCTGATTAACTGTACACAATATTCTTGCTACGTTAGTGCGCGTGTGTGCGTGCACATGTGTTAGTGCGCATGTGTTAGTGCGCATGTGTTAGTGTGCACGTGTTAGTGCACATGTGTTAGTGCACATGTGTTAGTGTGCGTGTGTTAGTGCGCATGTGTTAGTGCGCATGTGTTAGTGCGCATGTGTTAGTGCACATGTGTTAGTGCACATGTGTTAGTGCGCATGTGTTAGTGCGCATGTGTTAGTGCGCATGTGTTAGTGCGCATGTGTTAGTGTGCGTGTGTTAGTGCGCATGTGTTAGTGCACATGTACTCACCTATTTGTGCTTGCGGGGATTGAGCTCTGGCTCTTCGGTCCCGCCTCTCAACCGTCAATCAACTGGTTTACAGATTCCTGAGCCTTCTGGGCTCTATCACATCTACATTTGCAACTGTGTATGGAGGCCTGGTCGACGACCGGGCCGCGGGGACGCTAAGCCCCGGAAGCACCTCAAGGTAACCTCTGGGTAGGAGTCAGCCATCACCATATCACTTCCTAGTGCATTCCACCTGTTAACTATCCTGACACTGAAAAAGTTATTTCTAACGTCCCTGTGGCTCATGTGGGTACTCAGTTTCCACCTATGTCCCCTTGTTCGCATACCACCAGTGTTAAACAGTTTATCCTTATCTACCCTGTCAATTCCCCTGAGGATTTTGTAAATAGTGATCATGTCTCCCATTACTCTTCTGTCTTCCAGTGTCGTGAGGTGCATTTCCCGCAGCCTTTCCTCGTAACTCATGCCTCTTAGTTCTGGGACTAGTCTAGTGGCATACCTCTGAACTTTTTCCAGCTTCGTCTTGTGCTTGACAACGTACGGGCTCCATGCTGGGGCCGCATACTCCAGGATTGGTCTTACATAAGGTTCTGAATGATTCCTTACACAGGTTCCTGAATGCTGTTCTGATGTTAGCCAGTCACGCGTATCCCACAGATGTAATTCTTTTTATGTGGGCTTCAGGAGACAGGTTTGGTGTGATATCAACTCCTAAATCTTTCTCTCTGTCCGTTTCATGAAGTACTTCATCTCCCATTCTGTATCCTGTGCCTGGCCTCCTGTTTCCATCGCCTAGTTTCATTACCTTGCATTTACTCGGGTTGAATTTTATTAGCCATTTGTTGGACCATTCATTCAGTCTGTCTATGTCATCTTGTATCCTCCTACTATCATCTTCTGTTTTAATCCTCCTCATAATTTTTGTATGATCAGCAAACAATGAGAGGAATGATTCTATACCCTTTGGGAGATCATTTACATATATCAGAAACAGTATTGGTCTAAGGACTGACCCCTGCGGTACTCAAATTGTGACGTCTTGCCAATCTGAGACTTCACCCCTCACAGTGACTCGCTGTCTTCTGTTGCTTAGGTAATCCCTTATCCAATGAAGTACCTTCCCTTTCACTCCAGCCTCTCCGGTTTTTTCACTAGCCTCTTGTGTGGTACTGTGTCAAAGGCTTTCGGGCAATCCAAAAATATGCAGTCTGCCCGCCCCTCTTTTTCTTTCATGATTTTTGCCATCCCTGAACCATGTTGATTCTGTGTTACAAAGTTCTTTCGCTCCAGATGTTCCACTAGCTTTTTTCGCACAATCTTCTCCATCAGGTTGCATGGTATGCAAGTTAGGGACACTGGCCTGTAGTTCAGTGCCTCTTGTCTATCCCCCTACTTGTATATCGGGACTACATTAGCCGTCTTCAAATTTTTGGCAATTTCCCTTTTACCAGTGATATGTTATACACTATGGAGAGTGGCAGGCACAGTGCTTCTGCTCCTTCCTTTAGTATCCAAGGGGAGATTCCATCCGGGCCTGTAGCCTTTGTCACATCGAACTATAGTACCACAGTACACAGTACCTCCTAAAAGGCTGTTACAAAATTGGAGCAACCGGCAGTAATAAAAGGTAAGGTGCTCCAGTGGATAAGGAAGAATCTAAGCAACGGGAAAAATCGAGTAACTGTGATGGGGGAGACATCAGAGTGGCGAGATGTCACCAGCGGAGTCCCACAGGGCTCAGTACATGGACCTATTCAGTTTCTAATATATGTTAACGATCTTCAGGAGGGTATAGACTCATTCCTCTCAATGTTTGCTGATGATGCAAAAATTATGAGAAGAATCTAGACAGATGGAGATAGACAGAGACTACAGGACGACTTTGACAAACTAGAGGAATGTTCTAGAAAATGGCTAAAAATGTTCAACTCAGGAAAGTGTAAAGTAATGAAAGTAGACGAAAAGAATAGAAAGCTGATTACAATATACCATCTGGGAGGTGATATCCTGCAAGTGTTAAACAGAGAGAAAAATCTTGGGGTTGATATAACACGGAACCTGTCCCCAGAAGCCCACATCAATAGGCATCATCAGCGGCATATGCTAGGTTGGCCAACATAAGAACTTAAGAACTGCCTTTAGAAACTTGTGTAAGGAATCGTTCAGGACTTTGTATACCACTTATGTAAGACCTATACTGGAATATTCAGCTCCAGCCTGGAGTCCATACCTAGTTAAACTGAAGACAAAGTTAGAGAAGATTCAGCGGTATGCCACCAGACTCGTCCCGGAACTGAGTGGTAGGAACTACGAGCAAAGGCTAAGGGAGCTGAACGTCACATCCCTGAAAAACAGACGAGTAAGGGGAGACATAATAACCACCAACAAAATTCTCAGAGGAATTGACAGGGTAGACAAAGACAAACTTTTCAGCACGGGTGGAACATGAACATACCTTGAGGTTACCTTGAGGTGCTTCCGGGGCTTAGTGTCCCCGCGGCCCGGTCGTCGACCAGGCCTCCTAACATGGGGACAAAGGTGGAAACCTAGTACCCGAATGAGCCACAGAGACGTTAGAAAGAATTTTTTAAGTGTCAGAGTAATAGACAAATGGAATGAATTAGGGAGTGATGTGGTGGATGCTGACTCCATACACAGTTTCAAATTTTGATATGATAGAGCCCAGTAGGCTCAGGAACCTGTACACCAGTTGATAGTCAGTTGAGAGGCAGGACCAAAGAGCCAGAGCTCAACTCCCACAAGCACAAATAGGTGAGTAAACACACACACACACCCCACACTGCATCCTGCAGTGGGAGGGGTGATCAGGCTGCTTCGAAGTGAAAAAGTATATACGAGTGAATGATAAAACTTGGATTTTGACTAAAACCATAAGGTAGTGAAGAAATACAATAGAAATAGCATAACTGAAAATAGTTGTTGAATGCATAGTGGCAGTGTGAGGAGTGGAGCAGACCTCACACTGAGTGTGGCCTAACAGCCTCAATCTGTGACCGACCGGACCTCACCCCCAGCATCAACCCTCCCAACACCACATGGGGCAACCCGTTCTCGCACTTGCTTACAGTCAATATATGCTTATTTAATAAGTGCATATGTGACATACTAATTGATTGTGAATATTTTAGTTTACCTTGAAAAGCTTCATAGAAAACACCGACCTCACCTAACCTTCTTAGTATGTTAAGAAAAGCATCTTATTGCTTCTTAATTACAGTTATTACTTAACCTATATACCATTATATAATATACCATTGATAGTTTAAGTAATAATTGTAAATAAGAAGCAATAAGATGCTTATCTTAACATACTAAGAAGGTTAGGTGAGGTCGGTATTTTCTATGAAGTTTTTCAAGGTAAACTAAAATATTCACAATCAATTAGTATGTCACATATGCACTTATAAAATAAGCCAATATTGACTAAAAGCAAGTGCGAGAACGTGTTGCTCCGTGGGGAGACGCTTGGAGATTCACTCACCTATTGTGTTAGCGGGTCGGTAAAATAATTGGAACCCCTGTGAGTAAGGTTGGATTATAGCAATGACTAGGTCAGGAAGGGCGTCTAAGTCCAGCAGTATTATGATTGAAGAAGAGGATAGGTTTGTGGAGAAGATGATTGGGAAATTTTTAGAGAAGAGGGATGTTTGGATAGATGATTTAATCCAGGGGATTAAAAGTGAAATCTTTAATAAGATACAGGACGAGGTTCAGAGACAAAAACGAGAATTTATGGACTATATTCAAGCAGAGAAGAGTTGCATGGGAAAGTGAGATAACTAGGCTTACAACTGAATTTGGCAGGAATAAGGGTAGCATGGCATGGGAAGGGGAAGTGGTGGGAGATGAAGTAGTGAGTGTGGGAAGGGTGGGGGTCAGCTAGGGGGGGGGAGGCGACCAGCATGACCCTGCACTGAGAAAGAAATCAATCATAATCCATGGATTACTTGAAGCCAAGGCATCATCGAGGCAGGAAAGGATGGAGATTGAAGATTTTGAGTTACAGGGGATCTTGAGAGATATCAGAGCCGAGATGGCAGGGAATGAGGTGGGAATCCACTGCTACATTGGGGCGTATAACTGTAACAAGAAACAACCTGTCCTGGTACAGTTCACTAACGAAGAGGTTGTGGATTACATACTGCAACACAAGCACTTACTCAGAGGTAGCAAAAACTATTACAACGTGTATATTGACAGATACATGACCAAAGATGAGCAGATAGCCCACAGGGCGAGCCGGCCTCCACAACTCACCTCGTCAAATTTGAGCGTAGTTACCCCACCCCGTGCTAACGAGCCCACGCCTGCTTCCCAGGTCACACCCTCCCCAAATCAGCCCTCCCTGCCCTTGCTTATCTCCCCACCACCTCCCCTGACCCCTCTGACCCCACTACATTCGAATCTATCTGCTTCATCCCACATTCCAAGGACCTCCTCATTCCCTCAACCCCCAAATTCCACCCAGCCCTCATCCC